TGGGGATCTGAAGGATCCAGTCGAGGGCCTGGAGCTCTGTGTGGTGTCCCCTGTGAGTCCGTATCAGGAAGCTGAAGGGTCAGAGCTGGAAGCCAGGAGATGACATCCAAGGCGAAGGCCAAGACTGGGGCAAGTCTCCCTTCTGCTCCCCTTTTATCCCATTCTTGTGACAACCCTCCCTCGGGTGGGTCTTCCGCACCTAGAACTATGCTGAGCCAATGAGGCATAATCGATCAGCTAGCATCGCTTTCATCCTGGGGGTCCTGGCATTCTAATCATTTTTTAAGTTCTTTGAAGGTGATAGCATTAAGCAACCAGTTCCTCACTCTTCTGGTCTCCTGAGTTACTGGATTCCTGGAGCATGGCCCACCTCGTCATTTGCCTTTTTCAGTCTTTTCAGTCTCACCATGTGGCCCAGCCTGGCCTTGAACTTGCCATGACCCTCCTCCCTCCGCCTCTGGGTGCTGGGATGCACCCTGGCTATCTTTATTACTGCACTGGGAGCCAGGCTGCTCTGTTCACAATGTTGTGTAAGTTTCATTTCAACACTGTTCAGTCAAATCCATTTCACTTTCATGTAGAAGTTATAGGACTTAGGGTGAATCAATTCAAACGATTCTCCCAATTAGCATTACCTTGACCTAATACAAGATGTGTAAATTTTTACTGCAGAGAACTCAGGGAGGTGGCCATTATTTTGAATTCCCTGTAATTCAGAAAGAACAACACTCTAAAGATCAGATCTTAAGGTTCTATATAAAAGATGTAAAAAATTCCTATCTTGCTCCCTCTTCTATTATTATTGGATTTTTACTTGGAGACAACGTTGGTGTAGAACTCAGGGTCTTTCAGATGAATGTCACACTTCCAAGAGCAAGAAATAAGATTAGAAAAATAACTCAAAGATAAAGTAAAATACAATTAAACAATATAATTCTTAACCTCATTACAGAAAAAATCATTTATTGAAGAATGAGTATTTAATAAAAAAATTCTATGTTTCTTAAAAATGTTTTTAAAGAGTTGCAATTCCCAAATTAATCATTTACCGAGGGCAGTGGTGGGGGGACTGGGTTGTTTTCTACCTTTACAGAGTCCGGGCATTGGCTAATTGGCAAGACTTAAAACGCCCACTTCAGGGTAAGGGTGTCATTCAGAGGGAGGAAGAATGTGTGCTTAGTGCAGGGCCCTGGGTACCATTCCTAGTGACCCCCCAGCCCAAAGGAATAGAAAATGCAAAGGCACCTCCCACCCCAGCTCCTTGGCCTCTAATCTAGGCTTACCTATGGCCAATGCTGTATCAGTACAAAATTGATTTTTTTTTTTTAAACAGTCTCCCTATGTAGTCCAGGTTCCTTTGAACTATGTAGCCCAGGCTGCCCTTGAACTTGTGGCAATCCTCCTGCCTCAGCCTCCTGAATGCAGGGATCACAGGCATGCATCACCATGCCTGGCAAATTTTACTTTTAAATGTTTATTTAAATTTTCTTGGCACTAGGGATCTTGGGACCTTCTGCTTGCAATTATGGCACTGAAACCACTGAGCTAAATCCCCGACATTTTGTTTTGTTTTTTGAGGCAGGGTCTCCCTTTGTAGTTCAGGCTGGCCCTGAACTATGTAGCCCAGGCTGTTCTCAAACTTGTGGTGATCCTCCTGACTCAGCTTCCCAAATTAAAAAATGTTGAGGGCCCTTGTTCAAACAGATGGTCATTCCTTTTTTTTTTTTTTTCAGATGGTCATTCTTGAGACACTGGGATGTCCAAATATCATTTTATTTATTTAGGTTTTTTGAGACAGCGTCTCTGTAGTTCAGGCTGGCCTTGAACTTGTGGCAATCCTTCTGCATCAGCCTTCTGAGTGCTGGGATTACAGGCTTGCAACACCACACCTGGCCTGAATATCATTTTAAATTACAAGTTTGTTTTTAGCTCTCCAACACTGGTGGCGAGGATGAGTTCCTTTATCTGTTAGACGGAGACCATGTACTTTAGCAGCTAAGCGTAAACTGTTACAGATATTTAAATTTCTGCATTTTTTTAAACTACTAAACTGGGATTTTTTTAGCTTGAAAACAAAGAATCTTTCTTAGCTCCGACTTTTAGTGAGAGTTCTCAATGCTATCCAAGTTCAGAGAGGGCTGAGTTAATTTTCCCTTGAGGGGAGGCTGGCATCTATTTAATGGGTGGCAGGACAGCTCTCTCCTGAATAGTGACAGTCTTTGGGTGACATTTTCCCTGTACCCAAAGCTTTATTTCCAGGGCAGGAGACGGGAGATTTCCTGACACTCAGTGTCTTCCATGGCTGGCTGGAGTGCTCTTCTTCCTCATGTTATAAATGACAAAGTCTCACTGGCAAACTCCTAGCTTGTGGTTTTGATTCCACAGCAGTGTGGAAATGTCTAGTTGGACCCAGGCAGTAATGAAGGTGGACTTTAGCAATGCTTCTAAGCTCTCCTGTGTTCGAGAGTTGCCTGGGGATCCTGTTCCAATGCAGATGTGGATTCTGGGTTGGGTAAGACCTAGGACACTGCCTTTCTACCAAGTCTGCTGGAGGACCACACTGAGTGCCTATGGGTCAGGTGTGCACAGGGGAAACCCTCTCTGTGTCTTATTTCTGATTCCTTCCCCTTCCCTTCGATATCTGGGGAGGATGAGGCTGAGCTCTTATCTACTTCTGGCCATTTGAAAAACGAAATGAGAACATTCTAGGCAGGGATCATGAAGAGCTTGTGGTGTGACTGCTTACCCCTAAGGCCCTCACATCTTCCTTACCCAGGTGTGAATGAGATCAGTGCTCCATGTGCAATGCAAGGGTCAGGAAGGGAGCTCACCCGTTCTCTGCTCACGGTGAACCACGGTGGTCCTCATTCTTCACAGCCTGGAGTTAGTGCCTAGGATTCATCCCACAATGTTTTCCCATCGTGCGTCCTGAGACTGTAACATCTGAAAACCTGAGGGTAAACCTGGGCAGGTCCCACAAGCCAGAAGTCTATGGGAAGGTGAGGTTGTGAAACCCTTAAAGAACCTGGAAAAACTGGGGATGCTGGTGACACTGAGGCAGACAAGATGACTGTCCATCTCTAGTAAGGGTGAGGAGAGCGATGCTGTTTTCAAATTTAAAAATTTTTTATTAGTACATGCCTGTGTACATGATTACATTCCCGGTGGGAAGCCGGGGCATGCATGTAACACATCTTCATTTTTGCATCCTCTTCTTCCTCCCTCCCTCTACCCCTTGGTTCCCTTACCTTTTGCAAAAGATTTCCTGTTTCTGTTATCTTTTATTTTGCTCTTTATGTGTTGAGTTTCTCACATAAGAGAAACCATGCAATATTTAAGCTTGTGTCTGATTTATTTCACTTAACATTGTGGTTTTTTCTTTTTTGTGGTCTATTTTCTTGAAGTTTGCTGAAAGATTAAGTGTTTGTTCAGTAAAACATTTAGGGTTTATCACTTTGGTAAGTGCTTTTCACTTGCTAATTCCTGAACTGTAGCCTTGTGTTATCTCAGAAAAGTCCAGTTCCTCCTTGGGTACTTGCTCATGTCTTTCCCCAGTGAGTTAGTTCTGGTCACCACGCAGGACCCCATTTTCCAGCTGCCACTGTCCCAGATGGTGAGCAAGACACAGCTTCATTCTTGCTCATCACTTACTGTCTGTCCTGTTTCTGGTCCACAGTATGTTTACCTTGTTTTTAAGTCCAGTTATTTATTTTTGGACTCTGTCTCTTCCTAAACCTATTTTTTGCTACTCTGTATGCAAGTATCTCATCTGACCAGAACTCTGGGGTTCTCAGAATGGATTTTGTACATTGATGTGTTAAAGCAGATGGATGAATGATTAGGGCACTTTCAAACTCCATCCTTGGATTAAGACTTGGGAGTGTTGGACCTGACTGCTTTTACTCTATTACAGCATCCACTTACAGTGAGAGCCAGACACCAAGCAGCCTGAGGAAGTTATTTGTGAAGTTTTAGAGGTGTCAAGGGCGCTATTCTTTACAGACAAGCCTTTAAAGAATTAAGGTCCCATGGGAGAAACTGTCAGTAACAGGAATAATCATGCTTGGGGATGGAGGCAAGAAGGCTGAATTGTAACTGATGCTCCCCCTTGCCATTGGTCTTCGGATGTTCAGAGTCGAACTGGTGACCCACAGGTGGCAGAAACACCCTATGCAGCCTTTCTGGGTGCTGATCTACCTTCAACTTCTGTTCTCTGCCCTTATTTTAACAAGGAGATGATTGGGTGAGTTTGTGTGACTTACCTTATAACTAGCCCTTTTTGCACGAAGGCTTAGTATAGCTTAATAAAAACAGCCTCACCCACTTTCCAGCTGGACTGGGCACAGGCTGTGTCCGCACCTCCCTGATTCTCCAGAGGTCTGGTCGGCAAGCGCTGCCCGTTTGCCTTTTGCGTTACAAACACAGGCTCAGCCCCTTCCTCCATCTGTTTCCACTCCCAGGGTGGGGAGACTGCTCAGACTCGATCAAGTCAGGCAGCCACTGGGCTACCTCACCCCAAACTACCAACCCATGATCCTCCATCCCAAGAGCAGCCCCTCTCCGCCTCCCCGCCGCCCCTCCAGCCCGGTGTGGCCTCATCCTTCGGTGACAGCCTAGGCCTCTTTGGCCCCCATGACTCTCATCACTCTGCCCAGCCCCCTCCCTCTGGCCTGCTCTCCCTCCCTGCCACCCCCCTCCCGCTCCTGCCTCGCTCCCCCCCATCCCAGGGGCCCGCTCCCTCCATCACTCACAGCTGCAAGAACTGGCCCCCCCCCCACGTGCCTCTTCTCCATCATACACACACACATCTCTGTACGGCCTCCTTTCCCCTCCATCACTCTCACAGACACGCAGACACACCGACAGACACACACACCAACCACACTCCCCAGCATTTCCCGCCCCTCCTCTTCGGGCAGGCTCTCTGTGGAGCCGCTCTTCCGGCCGAGGCGTGACGTGACGTGACTCGAGGGGGCGGAACCCGGCCGGTGGGGCGTGGCTCGAGGGGGCGTACCCAGAAAGGGGCGTGGCCACGGCCCAGGACGGGCGGCGGGAGAGGTCCCGGCCCGGCACCGGCCATGCTCATCACGCTGTGCTACCTGTACCTGTGGGCGCGCTGGGGGCGCCGGCCAGCCGCGCTCGTGCGCTCCACGGTGCGGCGGCTGCGCGCCTCGCGCTGCTCTTTCACCTTCTGCGGCGCGGCGGCACGGCCCGGGGACGCGCGCGTGTGCTTCAGCCGCGGGGGCCGCGTCTTCTGCGTCGGCGAGAGCCAGGTGGGCGGGGGAAGCGCCGCGGGGCCCTGCGCCGCCGCCCGGGAAGCCCCGGAGCCGCCCGAGGTGCGCGCACGCGGTCCCGGGAGGGGTGGGGAGGGGTGGGGAGGGGCGGGGGTAGGGTTGGCTTCCGTGGCCTCTCGTGGTGCGCGGGCAGGTGGTTGCCGGGACCCCATGCAACTGCCCTCGACGACCCTGGCGCTGCAGCCCGGGCGGGCCTGGAGGACCCGAGTTTGGACCCAGAGTTCAGTTCCGCTTGGGCGACAGAACTTGCCCTTTCCCTGAGCCGCTGTGGCCGCTTCGTCCTTTACCAGCAGGGACACCTCACCCACGGCCTCTGCATCCTCTGCGGCTCAGTGCTTAGAAAGGTGGCTCCCGTCCAGTGGCCCTGTCACTGCAAAGCGGCTCCCTGACGCCACAGGATCGCGCCTTCTTTCCATTCAGCTGTCCCGGGAGCGGACTTGACTTCACAACGCGCTTCTGCGCACTTTTTTCGTGGCCCTCACTACCATCGTGTGCATTAACACAGGAACGTGTTTGGCTTTGCGTGGGTTTCTTGCCCCTTTTCTCTTCTGCACAGTTGGGTCACATTGAGCATTTTTTACATGTGTCGAAGCATAACACCCATTTCAGGGTTGAGCATGTTGAAGCTGCGCCTAGGTATGGGTTGGAATTGTGCCCCTGGGAGATAAAAAGCTACCCTCAATCAAAAATATAGTAAATTACCACACGCTGAATATGGGTTTTTACAGTCCTGTGAAGAAAGTACGGGGCTACCACCTAGGTAGCTACCGTCACCCAGACCCCAGGGGGAGATGTGCATTCATTTCATTAGATGCCTGGGCTTTGGGCTTAATTCTCTTAGGAATCTGATTGAGAAAGATAAAATGAGGAAGAATTGGGGGGTAAGTTTTTCTACTGTAATTTCCATGCTGGTTAATTTATTTAAGAAACAACCACTAAGCTATAGATCAGAGTAGAAAATTTGAGCTTGTAAAAACTTAGAGATGGGTCCTAGTTTTCTCAGTTTTACTTTTGAGCATTTTTACATGTTGATCGATGTTAGCCATGCCAACTATGTTTTTGGCTCTTGCCAACTTCCCCAGGCCTGAGTTGGGGCGGCCTTGATTTTTCAGGGCCTGTGCCCTGATGTGCTCTCGTTTTTTCAAAGTTGGCTTTGCTTCCACCGGAGCTCTGCTGTGTCAGGGCTACCTTTCCTTATTCTCCAGGCCACATAGGACTGCCCTGCCGTGTGTCGTCACAGATTTCAAACCACAGTTCTTTATTTCTAGTTTTTAATTTTTTCCTCACTAGGGGCCGGGTCTGTTTAGCCTAGCAGCCTGTCTGAAATGGTTGTTCAGTCTTTCATTAAATAAAAGAATGCTTAATAGTTGTTCGATCTATGCTCTGATATTCAGGGTCTACAAATGGAGAACTTGCCAATTTGTCTCCCATCCAAGTACTAACCAGGCCCGACCCTGCTTAGCTTTTGAGATCAGACGAGATCAGGGGTGTTCGGGGTGGTATGGTCATAGACGGCAATTTGTAATTAGATACTGCTGTTTTAAGACTGGAAATATTGTTGGGCTGATGATTTGGTGCTGAGGATAGCTTATTGTCAGTCTGTCTAAATTGAATAACTTTACAGAACTGAATCGCATGGGCCATGTTTTATCCAAATCAAACACATGAATACTGTACTGAATGTGTACATTATATAATTGAAGGCTCCACTGTAAGTTGATTAGTATAACCAATGATAGTTGGTAAAAATTGGAAATATTAAGCATTTTGTGTGTTTAATATACATATTCTCTGTTGGAGTAAAGTGGCCAGTTTTTAAAAAGTAGTTTACTAATGATTATATGGTCTTGCTATGTAGTTCAGGGTGGCCTTAAACTCACTATGTAGCCCAGGCTGGCCTCAAACTTGAAGCAATCCTCCTTCGTTAGCCTCCCGGGTGCTGGGATTAGAGGCGTGTGCCACCATGCCCGGCGGCCCCCCCAGATACTCATTCATTAATTATTTTAATTAATGTGCCAGGCTACTAGGGAAGGGCATATTTGAACTGATAACAGTGGACCTCACTCAAATACCCAAATGCCTTTTTCATAAATGGAGATAATCTCCCACCCCCTTAGATTTCAGCTTTTTCTGTTCTGGGTATTTCTTGTTTTTGCTAAGCTTAAGCTTTCTATTGGTATCTTTTTTTTTTGGGGGGGTACCGGGATCAAACTTGGGACCTTGGACTTGTGAGGCAGGCGGCAGAACCACTGAGCTAAATCCCAGGCCCAAGCTTAAGCTTTCTAAAATCAAATTGCTGTCTTTTTAGAGAGACTTTGGGATTATTGTTGAGTGTGTGTGGAGGGTTGTTCCAGCACCCACCCCCTCCAGGTACCAAACTCTGCAGATGCTCAAATCCCTCATACAAAATGTGCAGTATAGAACCTACACACGTGCTTTCTATACTTTTTGTTTATCTCTTTATTATGATACCTAATACAGTGCAGATGCTAGGTAAATAGTTGTTGTACTACATTGTTTAGGGAATAACAAGAAGGAAACAAAGTCTATACATGTCAATACAGATGTGATTTTTTCCCCAAATATAATATTTTTGTTTGAATCCATTGATGTGGAATCCACAAATGAAGACTGACCGTATCTGATCTGCTAACCAATATTGTCTCTAATCTGCTTTAAAAAAATGTAAAATGAAATTGCTTTTGACTGGAGTTCACATTTCAGATGTGTCTGCTGACTGACTTCCCTCCCTGTGGTAAAGGCCTCTGCTGGAGAGAGCTTATCTCAGGGTTTGAGCCACTGAACTTCAGGAAGATTGTGCGCTTCTTAGATCTTGGGGAGAGGAGCAGCGTTCCGGTTATTTTGAGCAGTGAAGGCAGAAAGGGTGTAACTGCCTGGGGCTGCTGCTGGGACAGCTGTGGGGATGAAGGGACATCTTTAGGCCTCTGTGCCTGGTTCACATTTCCAGGCCTGCACCCTTAACTGCATCCAAATGTGAGATGCAAAGCGCCTGCCTGCTAAGCTGGGAGGAATGGCCGTCAGAATGAATTGTGCAACACAGTATTTGGGGACATTAAAGCTGTCTGGAGTCCGAGTGGGGCTTTGCAGCTGTTGAAGCAGTCACAGCTGCACAAGCAGTGCAGGCGGCTGCGCTCCACAGACAGCCTCAGAGGCCCAGCTGGCCATACCTGGGTGGCAGGGAGGGTCATCAGGCCAGCTGAGATCCGTGGCAGCTGTGCTTGGAAGTGACACTGAATCCTCTTTATGTTTCTTTCCCTCTGTGCAGTCCATTGACAACCTGAACAAATGGGTCCTGTTTCTGGTCTCTCCCTTTGTACTTGAAGCAGAACACATAGCATTTGTGACAGAAAGCATTTGGGTCCAAGGTGACAGATTACCGGGACCATCAGCTTCAGAAGCAGTGAGTACCATGGTGTTTTTCTCTTGTGCACTGTAAGGGAATTAATCTTTTTTTTTTTTTTTTTTTTTTTTTGTGGTACTGGGGATCGAACTCAGAACCTTGCACTTATGAGGCAGGTGGTGGAACCACTGAGCTAAATCCGGGGTGGGAAATAATCTAAGTCTGTCTTTTGGTGAATGATCTTTCCTTCATTTCTTTTTGAATGTTTTGGGCTGCATAAAGTAAATGAGCAAAATTACTTCCACTTTTAAAAAAAAATGTGGCTGGTACAGAATTGAAAAGCGTACACATGGCTTGCATTTGTGGCTCACACTGCTGTGCCTGAGCTTCGAGTCTTTCCCCACAACCTCTGGCTCCCTGAGGCAGCCGGAATGGCAGACCTTTACCTTCTTCCTAGTCCTGTCATCCTCACATATTCTGAAAACACTTCCATCTCAGTCATTTGTCCACAACTAGTTGTTTTTGTTCTTTTCTGTTTTTTTTTTTTCAGTACTAGGGATCAAACTCAGGACCTTATACTTGCGAGGCAAGCACGGTGCCACTGAGATAAATCCCTGGCCCTCTTTTCTGTTTTTTGAAATGAGTTCTCACTATGTAGTTCAGGCCGGCTTGAATTTGCTCTGTAGCCCAGGCTGGCCTCAAACTCAGTGGCATCCTCCTGCCTCAGCCTCCCAGGTGCTGGGATTACAGATGTGCACCATGATGCCCAGTTTATATTCTTTTACTAAAAAACCCCACGAAAAACCAAATCAGCACAGCAGCCTACTCTTCCTCTTCACTTTCCATAGATCCAAGTGTTCCTAAAAGCGCCCCTCAGATGTCTCTGTTTGCGCCCTCCTTCCTGTCACCCCTCAAGTCAGTGTCTTCTGTCTCGCTGAGGGTGTTGTTCTGTCTGTGCCCCGTCCTCGGGCTCCTCCCCATGGGCAGAGTGGGCATGGTGAACACGGCTGGGCCGCCCTCTTGCTGAAGCTTTGGGTGGGCGCCCGGCCTTGTCCTTGGGCTCCTGAGAGTCTGGCCCTCACCCGACCGACCCTGTGAGTTTCTTCCCTCCCCGTCCGCGAGGTCCTTCTAGCCTTTCTGCCTCCGATTATCCCCTTCGCGTCTCTGGCTCTCCTCGGAGGTCAGCCCACAGGGATGCTGCTGGTGACGGCTGTGTTTACTGGGCTCCTCGTCGTGAGTAGTGCCGCAAAGGGGTAAGAGAAAGGAAGCGGGCAGTGAAGAGGAAGAATTGCCCCGAGTGTGAGACTGAAATGGAGGCCCGAGACGGGGAGGGCGGTGAAGGATAGGCGGGCGCCGGGCCAGGTGCGCTGGAGGGCTCGGGGCAGCCCGAGTGCAGGCCGGTGTCCCGGGCGCCACGGTGGGAAGGCCGAGGAAGCTTCACCTGGCCCGCACAGGCCCGCGGTGGTGACGCCACTTGTCAGGCCGCCCTAGGAATGTTCCGTCCACCGCCCCTCATGCTGGCAACTGGAAGGTAGTGTTGCGCTTTCTTCTCCAGAATTGAGGGTCACACCCAGGATATGAAACACTGAGCTACATTCCCAGATGTTTTTATTTTGTATTTTGAGACAGGGTCTTGCTAAGTTGCTCGGGCAGGACTGGAATTTGAGGTCCTCCTGTCAGCCTCCCTCAGGGCTAGGATTACAGGTGTGTGCCACTGCGCCCGGTTTATTATTGCCATGTTAGAGCTAAGAAGACTGAGGTTGCAGGAGTAAATGGCACGCCCAAAGCCACCGAGTGCCGGGTGGTAGACAGTTGTAATCAGTGTCTGTACCCTGCACGTAGCCGGAGGAACAAATGAACGGGTTTGGAGAAATGGAGGGCACTGAGATATAAACATAGTTATAGCTTTAGTTACCCCAGATCCAGTCCAGCGGTGCTGCAGGTGATATCCCGTGTCCAGTAGGGAGAGATTGACTGTTGATGTGAAATGCTTTTGCGAACTCAGGTAATTTTTGTATGCGGAGAAGACTATTCATGAACTTTGTTTCTTTTTTTTGGTACCTGAGATCGAACTCAGGTCCTTGCACTTGTGAGGCAGGTGGCGGAACCACTGAGCTAAATCCCCAGCCTGAACTTTGTTACTTAAAAACTGATTTTCAGGCCGGGGATTTAGCTCAGTGGTTTCACTGCCTGCTGTGCAAGCGCAAGGACCCGAGTTCAATCCCTGGTACCAAAAAACCCCCCCAAAACTGATTTTCAATTTTAATTATAAATTAAGTGATCAATTAGTCGAATCATATAAAATTCCCAACATGTGGGTTTTTTTTTCTGTTTTGACCACCTTTGGGCTTTTAAGTTCAGCGTACCATTCTTATAAGCTTAGCAAAAATTTGCAATCACTTTTTTATTTTTTGAGACAGGTTCTCACTATGTAATTCAGGCTGGCCTTGAACTCACTATGTAGTCTAGGGGATCCTCCTGCCTCAGCCTCCCGAGTGCTGAGATTACAGGCATGTGCCACCATGTCTGACTGCAATCATTTTAAAAAATAAAATATTTAGCCCCATTAACGTTGTGTATTTTATTCACAAGTATACTTTTTCTTTCTTGAAAATTGTTATTTACCAATACAGTAATAACATTAGTAAAATATTCACTATTGTATAACACTTTTCATTCTTTTAAAATATATCTGTCAAACAACAACTAAATGCACATATTTGTGGTATCATTGCAGGGTTAACAATATATGCAATCACTTTTAAAGGGATTTTTAAAAATAATATCCTGTTCAGAAACTGAAATACTTAAAATATTCTTTTTTTATAGGTATAACTTTTGTGTTTTTTAAGATTTAATTTAATTTTATCCCATTTCCCCCTCAAACCCCTTCCCCTCCCTATGTGCAAAAGCCTTGTTTCCATTTTTTCCTTCTTTATGTTTTTTTTTTTTTTTTTGGTACCGGGGATCGAACTCGGGTCCTTGCGCTTGCGCAGCAGGTGGTGAAACCACTGAGCTAAATCCCCGGCCCATTTTTTCCTTCCATTTTCATAAAATATTCTATTTTTAACTCTCACGCACAGTTTAAGTCATAATCCTTAGTCATAATCCTTGTGCAAAATGTACCCTTGTGATTGGTCTACACATGGCCCGCATTCACTTGTGAATTGAGGTAATGTCATAAATACCCCCAAACCATCACTCAGGGTAGAAACTGGGACATGTGCCCATGGGGACCCCCAGTTTCTTTTTTGATGTATACAGACAGCACCTTTCTGAACACTTACATAATTCTTATGTATTATTAAACTTATAAATATGGTAAGCTTAAAATTGTCTTATATATCCTATTACTATATATAGATTTAGTACGATTTCAGTTTATAACCAAAGCTAGGATTTCCAATGTATTACAATTATATAAAATAGCAAGGGTGCACAGATTTCTTCTTAACACAAAAATATAACTACTATTTTTTTGTTTTTGGTCCTGGCGATTGAACCCAGGGCCTCAGGCGTGCTAAGCACACACTGTCCCACTGAACTACAGCCCTACTCCCTAACTGCTGTCCTTTTAATTTTCGAAATTGTTACTTCACTGTATGTCTTCTGACATACAGTATCTTTTGTGGGGGAGATAGAGTCTGGGTGTGAACCAGTAGTTTAGGCTGGCCTTGAACTTATGACAGACCTCCTGCCTCAGCCTCCTGAGTGCAGGGATCACAGGTGTGCGCCACCATGCCTGGTCACATGTAGAATATTAAGGAACAAAGTTCCTGCAGTATGTAGCTTGTAGGCTGTGCTGCTTATCAAAGAGACTGCAGGGCGAGAGTGACTCAACCCAAGCTTGATGTTAATCTCTCTCTGCAAGCCCATCCTGGGGCCCCATCTCCTTGTCTTATTTCTCTGCTGTCCTCGGGGTTGACAGACAGCCTTGTGGTGGACACTGTTCCCACTCTCTGCAGCCACACTACACTGTTAGCTTCATCCACTGTGCAGCCCTCAGAGCAGTGAAATGAAGTGGCAGACAACAAGCTTCCTCTTTAAAATTGTGATCCTGAAATTTCCAGTGCCAGTTCTGAGCCCACCTGATTGCCCAGAACTTAGACATGTGGCCCTTTGGTCACCTCGCTGCAGGGGAAGGGGAGAAATGCATTTCTCACTGGACAGTTACTGATTTAGGGGACACTGGGGACCCCTGAAACGTTACCAGAAACCTCTGTAGTAGGCTCCAGTCTCCTGCCCCAGTGTATGACACAGGCCTGAGGGAAAAACTAAGACAGAAAGCAGGGGGCCAGGATGACCAATGCTGGTGCAACTGACAAAGGCCTGGCCAGTCCAAGCCACTGATTTTTATTGGTCATCAATTGGGGTAAAGGTGAGCTATGTGCAAGGGCAGAACTATGTCCAAGGATGCACAGTTGTGTGGTTTCTACGGAAATTAATGTAAGCAAGGGGAGGGGAAGACAAAGCATTCTCGAATTAGGAACAGAATAGACAAAATATATGGTTGTAATTAGAACACTATCCTTCTAAGAAGGTTTTAGTTGTGGGAGTGGAATTTGGGTGCGAGTTACCCTGACCTCGGCCTTAGGCTTCCGCTGGACTCACTTCTATAAACAAGCCGATTGAGGGGTCAAGTCTTCACAGCCTGCACTGCTTACAGCCTGCTTTGGGCATAATCAGTATTTCGTCCCTTGTAAGGAGAAACTTGGAGTTCTGTCTACAGGAGAGAAAGGAAGGACAGATAATGGGACATAATTAGTGTCTCTTGCTGGGGATTTAGCTCAGTGGTTCTGTTGCCTGCCTTGCAAGTGCAGGGTCTCGAGTTCAATCCCCGGTACCAAACAAAACAAAAGAAAACAAAAAAAACCCAAATAGTAATTAGTGTCTCTGCCAGGTATTGTACTTAACCTACTTTCTCAGGTGGTTACTTAGCTCTTAACTTTCAGCTGTAGAAACACCTGACCTGGGAAGACTGCCACCTTCCAGTTAACCCATTCTACTTAGGACTGAGAGTTCAGTGGGTTTTGCCGGAGCTGGAGACATGTAGAGCCATT